ACAGATTAGGAATGAAGCGACCAAGCCATCAGGTTTTCGGATACTATCTGGACTGTTGAAATGGCTTTAGGGAGGTGTAGGGGCACATGCAAATGTGTAACATGGCCTTTTGTACATGCGTTTGTATCGCAGTGACTGTCTTTTAAACAGCCTTGGACAACAACCGGGTTTCTGAGTTATTCAGCCCAGATTTCTAGTCCATCCTATATTGGTGGTCACACTGGTGATGGTGACGCATCGAATGTTCAAGGCAGAATACTGAAATTGTGGATGTTCTGCACTGTAACCAAGTAAGGCACCGCCTTTTCCCTTCAAATAAATACTTGCTTCGGGGTTGTAAATGCTCTGTTATGTATTCTATCTTCTAAGCGGTGAGTAAGTTAGTAGTCTAGTTACCTCAACATTTATTTTCACGAAAATAACGTGAAAGAGCGCATATAACCAGCTACTGACTGACGAGAAGGATGACTTTACTGTAAAACAGTACCTTTCTCTTGCAAAGATGATGTAATTAAAAGAATTCCTCTCTGGTCAGGAAATAATGGAAATTGGCTTGGGATGAAAGTCAGTCGTCTTTAAAATTCAAACATATTTTCCTTTAGATATTGAGGTGGTTTCGGGGTTTGTAAAGTCATTATTGGTATGGCGGACAGGTCGGTTCTTCGGAATAACCCAGACGAACTTATCAAACAGTATAAGTGCTAGACTCTGAAATCTATTCCAAAAAGCGTTGCAATGCACATCATATAGTGAACTCATAGGACGTACAATACTGACTTCAATATGGATAAGATACGCATACGTACAATACTGAGTTCCTTTATGTCAAGGACCAAAAGGATTAAGGAGCTATTGTTGGTCGTGTTTTGAAAATGGAATCACTCTATAATGCAGCTGCAGCCAAGCAATTCCGAATGCTCTAGGTGCCTCACATGGTGTCAATGTGGTTGAAGAGTGAACGATCAATTCATTGTTGTTTGCTCAAACCCAACTCCTCCATATTTTTCTCAGGAGTCATCAATCCAGCAGTCATCGTCTCATCGTTCGCTGTTCAGCGGAAGATAAAAAACTGTCAGAAGTATTATCGTGACTTATTGTTTGTTATAACATTTATTCTTAGACCTTGTGTGTAATAACCTTATTGTTGGTTACATATTGGCGAAAGACTAAAGGAATTTCGAGTCGCCAATCTGTGTTCTTGTTTTTCGCGTTGGTTGTTACAAATTGTTTCTGAAAGTCTTCGAGGGACGGTGTGAGGTCCAGCGTAGTAAGAGCTAGACATTGACAATTTCTGAGAGTTGACTGACACATGGCTTTCAAATATGTTTATAAGAACATGTTCAGTGTGAGAGAAGATGTATATAATCACACCTCAAAAGTGCCCTGTATTATTTTCTATGTCTTTCATAGGTTATAATAGTGTTGGTCAGTTGGACATTTGATTTTCCACCGGCAGCTGCCATCGTGCATGCTGATGCGTGACTTTGCGATGCGTGTGCAATGAGTTCATATATAGTGTTTTGCTGTTCCTATGGTGTTTTATGGTCTTTCATACAACTTAAATGCTTGTTGGGCTGTACACTCCTCTGATGAGATTAGTTAATTGTTGCGGTGATTATCAATGCCCATGAAGTCGTTGGTCCCTATGCTTTTATCGAGCCGTGGTCAAATATGTGATATGCCTTGAGTTATTATTAATCCAATATTCTGTCTTTCTTCCAGATTAACTGCGAAGTGAAGTGACTATAATCAATTAATGAATCCCTCAGTATAATTTTATTACAGATAATCAGTGCAAGTGAAACCAGCACAGATGTAAGTGAACGTTCTTGGAAGATCAAGTCAAGAAGACGTTTTTTCAGCTAAGAGGTCGTCGGGAATGCACTAAAAGATTCTAAGAGGGTGAAAACCTTATTAATGGCCGGAAGTTTAGATCTCTTGCGCACACTTAAAGCCAACAAAAGGGGCAAGAGATAAAGATATTTGTTTGGATATTGGACAACTTTCATCCAGTAACGGGAGATATTTCTCGAAAGGGACTTTCTTCATAGATTGTAGTCAAAGCGAAATTGCAGAAATTAAGTTAACCCATTGGCATGCTCACATTTTACTGAATCCATAAAGAGATTGTCTCTTGAGGAGTTAAACGCATAATTGCAAATGGGATATCCTTATGTCGACTGTTTCGGTGTCAAAGTGGATGAGTGTAATGCGATGAATATTCTAATTTCGTGGATTTTATTTGCATAAATGATTCACTACCAGAGTGAATATTGGTTCCACTCATTATGATATTATAAATAACTTATATTTCGTACAAAACAGTAAGCTCGCAAGGAGTGGATGTAATTTTTACAGGCACGATCAGCAGTCTTATAAATTACAATCCTGAAGTATTAATAATTAACACTTTTCCCCCTAAATCTTTAAAAATTATAATCGTCCAAATTATATTGTTATCCATCTAACTACTGTGCCTCGGTGGCAGAGTGGTTAGGACTCTCGCTGACCATGATCCGATGTTCGAACTCCTACTGACGAACACTTGATATCTATTGTGGGTCTGTAAAATTTGGGCTACCGATATCCATGCTGAAAATTCCATAGTTGTACCAAAAATACAGTGTGGAATCAGGCTGTTAATAAAAAAATAAAAAATACTTCATCCTTAGTTAAGAGTTATCATTGTCCAAAGTGTTTTATTTTGTTTAGCAATCTCTTACGTAATCAACTTATGCACATGCTTATTCCTTAATTACTCTTCATTTTATCCAAAATTATTCATTACGAATTCCGTGCGTTGCAACCATCTCTACCTTTTAATTGTGTAATTTTCTTCCTTTATTATCTCCCTATTGACATGGTGATACTGACTAATTATTGTTGACAAACATCGCCACACAATTGGTGAATTGTTGTGTATTGTGATAAAAATGCTATAAATATATACATATATATTAGAGTAGAGCCATAGATGAGGATCTAATTGAAAAGTAAGTATTTCTTCGAACAATCCTTTTTCTTTCTAAATGTCTTAGCGTGGAATTTTTCTGTTATTAAAATTTTTACACTCCTTTATATCACCTACCCTCCCCTGAAAGCTGAGCATTCTTCCTCATTTGATGGTTATGGCACCATTGCTTTCGTATTTTGCTGTAGCACAATCATAATTTCTTACTCAGTTTGCCTAAATTACAGTTATTCGCGGGCAGTAATATACCGACGGTAGCCCTATTCTGCTCATAAAATGTCTATATACTAATTATTCATGAGAACGTATGATCGCGATAATCGTTTTTATCAACAGTTTGCGCCTAAGTCGCACGCCATGCAAACATTTTTCATGTTTGTCACTGAGGAAACGTTGAGTGGATGCTGTGTTGCCAATCTGAACCGTGGAAGTTAGTTGGCACATCTAGAGGATAGTAGTTGTGGGAACTGGAGGAACGCTTATTTCCACTTTGGAAAAGTGGAAATCCAGAATCACACATTTGATAAATTTCTCATAATTCAAGGATTGTCTATAGTCGCTTGGTAATCTCAAAACTAGAGACTTCCCAAAAATATGAAACCTTTAAAGATTCCAAACACATTAAACAACATTTATGCGTGATTTTTACTAATGCATGCATTTTAAGTGATAATTCCCCGATAAAACAAAACTTCCAGGAAAACTACATTCGAAATATATGAAAACATTATTTCCTCGACTAAGTTTCAGACGAATTCCATATACCCCATGTCAGCCACGTCTCGTAAACCGTCAATGCCCAGCTCTTGCTACGCTGGGACTCACGCTGTTCCTTGAAGTTTCTCAGAAAGGCTTAGTAATAACGGACGAAAAAACCAAAACACCGATTGGCCACTCGAGAATTATTTATTCTAACACCAACATATAACCAATATTACAACTAAGGTCTATGAACAAATGTTACAATAATAAATCACAAGATTACTTCTGACAGTTTTGTCCTGACTTCTTTCTGAACAGCGACCGATGAGACGATGACTGGTGTATTGATGCCTCCGGGAAAATTGGGGAAGCTGGTTTTGAGCAAACAACCATGAATTGATCGTTCAATCTTCAACTACAGTGACACCCCAATTTCACCAAATTAGACGACAGTGTCATGAAGATGATGTCCTATGCCAAGCACGAAGACGCATCACGACAGCATTTATCATCCCTCGTTAGCCTTACATTAAATATAGGTGGCTTATCTTGTGTACTTTATATGTACCTTTCCTGAGGAAGGAGGTGAAGACCATAAGAAGAGTACACAAAGCAGTCTCCGGGCTCTTGAAAGTAATCTAACATCTGCATATTAGAGACATATTGATGAGGAAATGATTTTGTCCTTTATGAAATGACAACTTGAATGTTTTTCCCTTCACAGTTTTCTCCCGTTCCACAAAACTCATGAAAATATGTCTCACTGAGTTATTTAAGCTGCAGTTAAATAGGTTGTGAAGGTATTAGTATAAAACTTGGGTACTGTGGTAGAGTATAACTCCATTATGGATAACTTGTTATGATTATGAGCAATAGTTTGTGCTCGAAACGTGAGCAGTTAATATAACTGTACAACACTGTGTGATTTATTTAAATAAAATCTTATCCATAATGGAGTTAGGCTGTCTAGGGAATCACTATAATTTCCTACATGGTTGCCATAACAGCGTTTTATTATTATATTGTAATGTTTAATTTTTGTCGTTTTGAGTAAATTAGATGCAACATTGTACTGAACGCTGAAAATTCTTTGCTGTATCATTAGTACTGTTTTTGGAATATAGCAAAAAATATTATTATTAATCGTAAAGCGTAGTTAACAACTGGAAATTACTACTGGGGCTGGTATTATTTGCTCCCCTCGTGAATTCTATCAAAGAGAAAATGAACGGTGAAATAGATATACAATGAAATAATAACCACAAACCACCTGAAGGCTGCTATAATTTATCCCTGAATACTTACGAATAATCTAACATTGAAATTTGACTTAACACGGAGCGCGTAATTTGCTTCTCTGCCAACTTATGATGGATTTTTACGATCATAATTATGAAGAAAACAAGCTGTAAGTATTCTAGGCAGTGTAATAAACTCATGCTTGTTTTATCGTTACTTCCTTAATTGCTATAGCGAAATGTACGTAGAATCAGGAAAACTGATACCCATCTCCATCAAATGGGCTTTAGATGAATTTTTAATGGCATACTAATTCGCCCAAAGGAGTGACTCTGTGATACTTGGTGGATGAAAAACACAAAATTATGCATGTACGGGTACTCATACGGTTTGATATGGATGAATGGACCTGTCCCATCCGTATATGTATATGTATGGAGTATGAGTTCCTAATAAATTTTGTAATAAAATATGTGGGTTATCTTACCGTGGAAGCAATTAATTTCGTGCCTTGAAGGGAAGCTACAAAAACACATTTCCGCTAACCAATGTGTTTGTAATTCAAGTGACAGTATTGCCAAATTATTTGTATGAATACATCAGTCAATTACTTGCCGATACTGTTAATAATACCAATTTATAATAACTGGCTGTGAAGGACGCATGATAATGAGCTTCTGTGCACGTTCCAAAATAAATAGTGTTGATCGGCGTTTGTGAAGCTTGGTCTTCTTATTTCTTACCATCAGTAATACTTTTGGCTACGGAGAACTAGTTCATCTAGTAGACGCTTTTATTGGAAGTGAAACTTAGTCCGTCCTACTGTAGTATGTTTTAACTTACGTTATTTCTGGAGTAGAATCGACATCCGGCTATCAATATAAAAACGTGTGAACGGCGCAGCAGTTTGACTAAGAAATTGCCATTGAAAGTCTCAAATTTGAAGAGGCTATGTGTCTTCAACCACAGACGTTTGCATTCTATATCCTGTGCTTAGTATTATTAAATGATGGACAATATTGAGGTTAGGCCTAGTGTTACATAAGGAGAGGAAGTCAATCCATGAGTTTGTGGAACTGCACCAATTGATATGGCTAGGATACGTGTTACACAGGCCAAACCATCGCCTTCCTCTAAAAACAGTGTTTGCCGATATGTGATTAGGCTGGAGCAGAGTTAATGATAATCGAGTCAAAGCATAGAATCTATCCATGAAGTCTCTGATTGCCTGTTTGTTTCAGTGACTGACACCTGCCTGGGATCGTTGGGGCGCTAGATACCAATGGCTTCAAACTTGCTGATATCTCGAAGTGGTGCAGATGCACTTACCCCTCCCCCTCATGAAACCCTAGGCTCACTAAACGCACTCCCCATTTCATTTTTTCGTCCTCCCGTACATATCCGTTCATTATGGTTCCTTGATTTTTTTCTCAACCTTTGCATTAGTGGAGTGGCAAATTAAGCTGCTGCTGTTTTGTGCAATGTTCTATGTTGAAAACTAGGTCACTCAGGTACGAAGTCGCATGTGGATTTAAGATATTTCTGTGAGACTAATGTAGGTCGTTAGTCACTACAGTTTATTAAGAGGGAAACAAACCTTTCTGATACGAATATATGGTTCTGATTTCGGTTGTCATATAAACAAGGAGTGAAGCACAGTCAAAGCTAGACTCTACAATATGTGTTTATTCAGTCGTCTTATTGGAGGTCCTGAAACTGGCACGTGTTCATTGCTGTATTGCTCTATACTTCATATTAAAGTAATTTAATCTTATATAGTGATAATTATATGTAGGTCACACCGAACCACCGTCTTTCTTAAATGACCAATATTGGTTAAACCCAGGGATATTGAGACCAACACGTGCCGTCAATCTATGAAGTCACTGACAACTGTTCTAAAGCCCATATGTGGATGAAGATTACCCAGCTAAGGTAATTAATCTGGGGATTAATATTTGGAGATATAGCACAAATTGTCCATAGTGACACATGTGTTCACTTAATATATTTTAAGTTCTGTTATTCTCTGCTAGTTGCTCATCCCATCACACCCGTATCATTAAGTTTCTTTTCATATTTTGTATACTTTGTCATATTTATCAATATGAACTGATGGCCTTTGTCTCTAGTTCTACGTTGATTCATCTGTCAGTTCTATGTAATGCGAACACATAACTACTCTTAGTAACTACTGGACTATCCAGTAGTTTTCATCTCACTCCAATAGAATATTCTGTTGTAGCATAAAATTAACATTGGAACATTACTTTTATTTTTGTTTTAAAAATTACCACTTGATCGTATACTGATGTGTAGCGAATTACACTCTGACTTTCTAGTGGGATGACAGTCACAAGTGGTTGTGTGAAACTGAAAAAAGATGCTCAAAACCTAGTTGGAATCAGTATTGGAGGTGGTGCCCCATACTGCCCATGTCTCTATGTTGTTCAAATATTTGACTCCACACCTGCCTCTGAAGACGGCAGTCTGCAAGCTGGAGATGAGATCACTGGTGTTAATGGAATGTCTGTCAAAGGCAAAACTAAAGTGGAGGCTGCTCGACTTATCCAGAGCTTTAAAGTAAGTATCGATTTGATTAAATGTGTGATTATATTGTCGTATTGTATTCTGGGTCTATGAATAGACTACTTTACTGTATATGATTAACTTTAAGGATACGTGTCGCAGCATATCAAACACACTGTTATACAAGTAGCACCTAATTGCGCATCTAACAAAATAAGTATATATTCTGCCCATAACGTAGGTCTTGCGAAGGTTACTTGCTTACGGTATATTAATATCGTTATACCTTAGTTCTTAACCGTGACTGCGACTTTGTTGTGATGACTGAGTTTGTCTACTTTATTGGTTCAACTCTGTGATATCAGCCAAGTTGATAGTCTTTCCCTCAGTACTGGTAAAGTTGAAGACACCCAATCCTATGTTAAGTTGTTGGGTTCATTGAGCTTGATCAAAAGCGTCTAACACTTTCAGTAGTTACAAGATTGAAATCAGTTAGAGAACCATTGAAAACCAGGGAGCACTAGACAGCTGTTTCTTCTCAGCTTAGGACTTATCGACACTACGTACCCACCGGGTTCCGAACTCATGACCTTCCGGTTACAATGCAAACTCGTAGACCATTCAGCCGCCGAACCCGACTCAATGGCCAGTGAATTCTAACTTCTACCAATATGTGATTTTGGTACTACCACTAGCCAATGTCATCAGCGAGTATTTGTCCTCACTCCCCACCGGGTGGTGTTACCAGTGTTCCTCCGACCGATATCACTCCGTGATCAAACCTGAAACAAATCAAATCCATGCAAACGAACTTTTGAGAACTTTCGGTGGTATTGGAACAAAGGGTTATTAAGGTCAGTCATGAAACATGAGACAAATGCTTTAACCATCACATATATGTAAATTAAAAGAAAGTCTATTTATATCATGCAGCCAGATTTACCTTGTGAGCCCACCTCTCTACCTAACTCAACTAGTTCCGAGCTTAGTTTGCCCTACCTTAATAGCGTGACTTCCAGTTTCACATTTATGCAATAGTAAAAAAGTTATAGCAAAAATTTTGAAGCTATTTTTCATAAGTATTTACAAAAACACTGGAATACATGAAAAAGATGTGTTGTGACAATTACCAATCTCCTGACTTAAATTCATAACTTGCAGCATCTTTTGGTTTAAAAATTTGGATTAACCAATCTGTTAGGGAGGTGTATCTATTACTATAGGATAAGATGATCACTTCCACAATTGGTTCATGGATTTTAACAGAATATGTCCCCCCCCCCCAAATAAAGTTTTGGTGTGGGTGTAAGGATTCTAAACCCGTACTTAACACACCCAAATTTTATTCCAAGATCTTCAGAGAAAACTGGATTTTTTCACTGTCTTCCCAGTATAACTATGTCGTCCACCTGCCATATATCTATGAAACGGCTTCTTTGTAGTAATTAAAGCAGAATTGAATGAAAACGTTTTCAATATGATTAAGTAAGACTAATGGTATTGAGCATCTGTGAACGTAACACTCGTGATGTAAAGTGGTTTCTCTTCATAAGTTTTCACATGGCTGTATACATCTTAGAGTAAACACACTTCAAATATTTCCGCTGCAGGAATACGAACTAGGTTAGCTCGAAGTAATACACTTCAGAGCTGAGATCTACACTCAAATGTTTTAGTTTGTCAAACCTGAACTAATGAAGTTTTGTATCTAGGTTTCTGTTGTTTCAGTTAGTTCGATTTGTACACTGTTCATGTATGGTGTGTATTTTTGAGTCAAGGAGAAGAATTGTCGACTGTTTACTTTGTGAAGTTGGTTTTAAGTTCTAAGACAACATGCATTTTATATTGTTTGTGTTTAACTTCTATCGCTTAATTTGTAAATCTTATGTAAATACTTAATTTCCCATAATTTTAATTTCAGGATGAAGTAATAATTAATTATAACAAGCTGCATGCAGATCCAAAACAAGGAAAAACGTTAGATTTAAGTAATCTTCATTTTTTAAATTGAATAATTGCTTTACAATATTTTAGTTCTGAAGAAGGTTAAGCATCGTATTGTTGAAACGATGGAATCTAGTACAGCTGATGCTCTAGGCTTAAGTCGAGCTATTCTTGTCAACGGTTAGTTAAATGTCTGCCATTTTTACTAGAACAATAATTATTATTTATAGATGGTATGGTGAAAAAGTTGGAGGAGTTAAATAAAACATCGAATGCATTTTCTGGCATGGTTAATCATGCGAAAAATCTTCTGCGTGCAATTTATGAGCTGTCTCGTGTGTATGCTGGTAAGATATTTTAGCAAAACCGATGTTCCTTTTCTTATGTCAATTTTGCTTAGGTTTACTGTTTATGTGATAATTTCTCATTCGATATTCAAATGTATTACAAATTTTTATTCGATTGAGGCACCCATACATCTTCCTCAATCGGATACAAGTTTTATAACTTAATATTCTTACCGTCTGCCATGTGGTTTAGCGACCAACCTCAATTTCATAAACACTACTGCAAGTTACATCTATTGGTTGAGGGTTAGTAATATTGCCCATCTGTTCAAGCACGAGTGTTTAAATTTGTATCTGAATGTGTGATCCACTGGGTGTAACTTAAATGCTTAAGCGACTTTACTTCGACGTGAACAACTATGTAGTCAGAATCATTTTTCCCTACATAATAGATAAAGGCAAACTTTTATAAAGTTGACTAAGTTGCAACTTTTTACCACATAAAGGCTATCTTTACGTACCTTATTTTGTGTTTAACTGATGGTTGACACTTGCAAACGATAATCCTCTTTGTCCTTCACTTCAAAAGTGTTGTTTTAAATTAGGTAGCATGGGCAAAGCTAATTATTTGGTACTTTGTAGCAGTTAACTCTTGAAATCTCAGTATGTTTTCAGTGAATAACAGGTAATGTTCGTATTATGATATTATTTAATAAAGGGAGATATATTTAGTCTTCCTTAAAAGTCTAGATAGATCATTCATTGAATAACTAAAGTGATCTTTGAAGATGTGATATTTATTCATGCGCAGAAGTAGTTGTGTTCATTCAAAAAGTCGTTTAAGAAGATGGGTAAACTACCGATATTCACTGAGCTGAAGGCACATTTACATGAGAAATCCTATACATAACGAATCGTGTTACATATATCACTGCAAGCTATTAATGTCTTACTTATTATTCCTTTGCGTTCTGATTGGAACATAGGGCTTCAACAACACATCTCCATTTCTTTCTGTCCTTTACGGTGTCTTTTAGCTAGCTACACGAAATACCGTAAGCTTTCGTTTCCTCTTCACGTGATCTCCATGTCACTCGAAGATTTGATCATAAGAGAAACAAAAAGAAAGTTGCGGTGACACCATTAAAAAAATCTTTCTGTGAGCAGCTGCAAGTTCATTTGGTGGCAGCTAGCAAAAATAAGAAAAAGAGAAGTAATCAGAGCAGCAGAATATTGAAGTCATCAAGATGAGCAACTTAAGTAAAGACTTGGTCGAATTAATAGTGTCACAACCTCTGGAAGAAATTTTGAAAGGTGCCTGTCTTGCAAACTAGTTAAACGCCGATTATACAAGAATGTAACACTATGGTAGGGTATAGTTCTGTAATAAATCTCCTTATCTATTGTAAAATATTCCATTGCATTTTTACCTGTTAATGACATTCTAACAGCAGTTTATGGTTAATGCGAAGGTCAGTAGGTTTTGCTAAAAACGCCATCACTGAATTATACTGGATCACTCTGCTATATCAAACTTATTATCTAACGAAGTGTATTACTTCAAGTGTTCAGATAGCGTGTTGGACTGATAATTAATATCAATCTTCAAATTCTTTCTCTTTTCTCTTTGTTACAATGTTCATTTGAAATTATGTAATCCTGAGAGTTGGTTTTCGGTAACTGTAATGTCATTTTATTTTGTATCTTGTCAATTATCAAGGCGCTTCCCTACTTGTTTATCATATCTCTAATCAATCAATATTTTGCTTTATTATTTACCAAGTACTTGGCGATACGTTTTCTGAAATTGGTGTTAAAGAGCCTATGGCATGCACAAGTGAGGCATTCACCCAATTCGGTACAATCCATCGAAGCATGGAACGTTTTTCAATTGAAATGTTAAAAAAGATAAAACCGGTATGTTGTTCAAGTTCCAGTTACTATTACATTATTAATTTTGCTGTTCAACCACCTAGTTGCTGTGTAAATTCTCTATTGTCTATGAGTTTCACTTTCTTTCCTGTACATGTCGCACCAGCTTGTCCGAAAGCACTTTAATTGAACTAATCTAGAGGGTTTGTTATTGACAGTTGGTCGTTCGGTCTTGTATGCGTATGTTCTAAATTCATTCATTAATCCCTGATCTTTAAGTCAAAGTCACTAATGTAAGCTATAACATCATGAGTAGTAAGATTGATCCTTCTTAAATTATTGACTGTTTAACGTAGTCAAGTATTTTCTTGACATATAACTAACGATCTCATCACGCACGTTATTACTTCAATCCACTTTTAAAGTTCTACTGTTAAATCATTTTGCAGTGCATCTTCTTGGGTCTTTCTATGTCTATTAAGGGTACAGGCTTTTTTAAGAACAAACCTGTCAATTAAATTTGACACAAAAGGTCGTTTCTTATGTATTAATAGGGAATTAGCAAAACTTGGTTTCTACGACTTAAAGAGAGTAGATTTATATACATTGACTTACTATGGAAATTTCTGTATAGGCCAACATTTCAGGTAATCTCAGGAACAGGCACATAACAATTGATATACTCCTGAATATTGACCTCCACATGGTACTACCAGAGTAACTGTTTATTTCACCAATTTTATTCAATTTAGAAACTATGAAACCTCAAATTTCCTTCATACGAGTTCTCTCTTTTACTGTCACTTTAGAAGTCTCCAGTCTGTGTACAGTTCTAATGTATGGGACTACCACCATAGTCTGACGAAATTACAATACGTGGTATAAATACACTAAGCTTTCTTTAGTAGGCAGGTAGATAGGTGGATGTTTCTGACTCACACAATATCCATACAAGCAGTGTGCCCTATTATTCCTGTCATCTCACCGACGTCATTATTCATCCTATCGAAATTTCTCGTCTCATTTGCTCGCACAACTTGCTTTTAACCAACGTCTAATGTATAAGCAAACATTGTGTAATCTTACAACTAACGTCATCCCAATAGTAAACAGAGGCCTGAATTCATACTGAATCAGGATACACATAGTAAACATGAACGTGAAAAGAAGTCAGATGTGCTGGTACTTTACATTTGTATGGTAATATCACTGTATTGGAAGTTTTATATTACTGAGAACTCATTGCTGAAGTCGATCCGCCTATTTAATCATCTATGGAGTTGACTCAGTCGACAGAATACTTAGCTGAAGGCTGAAAGTGGCATTTCTATAACTCCTAGCTACTTGCCAATTTAACCACATTTGTAATGGACCTAAAACTTTGGTGTCGAAACCTGGAGTTCCAATAATTATTATTGTTATTTCGGCAAAATTGGTACAATGTAGGCACCAATTGATGGGTCAAACAAAAAAAAAATACAACAACAATGGAACAAAATATAGGGAAAGCAAACAGAATGATTGAAGATTATAAAAACCGGGCAGACATATTAATCAAGAGGATTTAAGAGACGTTGAGTAACTCATGTTACAGAGAATTGCAGCATGTTCGCCGCTAGTTACGATCCTCGTTCATATCTAGTGATGTTAGGAGTCACTGATTCCGGTTGTCTCTCGGATTTTGACCAGGGAGACGTGATGCACCAACCGATGCCAATGTAGAACAACTGTCCTTCACCCGACAAAGCCGCACGATGGACCGACCATCTCTTTACTTTTTTCACCAATAAACTGTACATTAAGACAGCCGCTGTGTGATGTTCGTAGCGCATATCCAAGCTACTGAAGTTGGTGTTTATAGATGACAACCTATTTAAATACGATATCGACTGGGTATAGACACGTTCCCGGACCTCAGAATAACATACACCATGATATGATGTGTAAGCAGTTCTACAGAGACAATCGTGATTGGATACACGGAGTCGTCATACACCCTCTGCTCAAAAACCAGGTTACTGTTATGAAAATGTGAATCAGTGGATAGCTCCACTTATTGATGCATTAAACAAAAACGAAAATATCAACAGTATTACTGGGTGTTCGTGAGTTCCTTTCTGGCGGTAGATCACTTTCCGAGTCGATCATCCATCTCAAAAATTAAATTAAGGTTGTGTGAATAGACGTCCCTAGTAGACATAAAGAGTTGTTGTAGCTTCGGATCGCAACTGCCTATGTCTTCGACCAGACTGACTCGATTAGCGTGGCATGTCCTTCCAGCACTCTGGTGAAAAACACCTCTAGACCAGTAGACCTGTTAATACGACAGCCGTCGTATACTGACACATGTTTGACCGTTCAAGAACCTACTGTACGGTGAATGTTTGTTGCTCGACCGCCTTTTCCCGTCGGATTTATTGTCCTAGAGCTATACTTGATCTTTGTTTCCACATACACCGGATTAAGTCAGTCACCATATGTTACATAAACGTATTTTCTTGCCGTACGTTATAAACTGTCATGAATAACAATATGCAGAAATTATTACAGTCACGTCTTCCTCTGAGATTGTTGAACATACTAGTCGTTTTCGAGCTTATCTCTTTTCTAAGGTCTTATTAAGTTAAGCGTATATGCTTGTAATTCTAGGCGAAATTTATGGCCGATACATAATTATTTTTGTGACTAATTGTATTTGATTGTTTTCGGTCATGTTATTCTCACTGAAATTATTAATATTTTTTCATTAGCTTATGTAGTTGTCTTAGTCAAGGTACTGTATATTGTATTGTTTGTTTTTATTCCTTCATATGGCGCACATCAGATAGTTTTCCTTCATAGTGGTAGCATGCACTTATGACGTAGTATGTCACTGCCCCCCCCTCCATATTTTATGACTCGTAAATTAGGGAAGTAGAATCAATTTAGTTTGAGCTATCCAAATGTTTATTGTTATGTGGTCTTGTAGAAGTGCTAAGCATATATATATATATATAATCTTTCCATAAGTGTGTGTGGGCGGGTGCATTAGTAAGCAACTGTTTGTCATTTATTGAATTTATTAAATATTCCCGTAGTAAAATTTAGAACAACGCATTTAAGCGAACAATATTGTTTTCAATTAGATCTCATCAGGCTTAACTCTAATATATATAAGTTTACAAATAAAAATTCAAATATAAACCAATCATGGTGTTTTGTCTATCGGATAATACGATGGTGAATATAAATTGTGCAATTAATCATAATAGTGGTAATGATAATATTAATAATAGTAATAACAATAATAATGGTCTTATTAATAATAAGGATGAAAAATGAGGCAATCTGTGATAACACGAATAATGAAAAACAGTATGATTAAACAAACAATTGTTCAGGTGGAAGTAGTCGATAAAGGCTAGTAAAAACAAATGAACCGATTACGTAATGTTAGATTGTAAGGGAAGGAAATGAAGCACGTTTGTAATGAACATAAGATTAAGGGATGATAAGAAAGGCATTCGTTAGGCATTCGAACTATTAAGCCTAAACTATGCATTCAAAAGAAGTTCGTACAGCCATTATCCCTCCCGTGGCCTAATAAGCCATAAACAACTAAAGACTTCTACACCACCCCTTATTTATATTTCCAACCCCTTTCTTATATATATATATATATATATTTGAATTTTTATTTGTAAACTTATTGAATTCACGTGGTAAAGTCATTCAATTACAATCTATGATAAAAATAATCTTACTTTTACACTGCTAAACGTACTATTTATCTTCTGATTTCTATTGTCTTTCACCCTGTGACGAAAATGATTAACAGAACACTACTGATGTTATCATCCCACAGGTATCGAAGCAAATGGAGTAAGGCTGCAACTAAATACAGCATGCTTTTCTCACTAAAGCGTTTTCAAAGTATCTTCAAAACAGTGCAAATAAACGGTTAATAAAATGACACTGTTCGACTTATTGATTCTTTTACTGTTTTGTGTATATTTGTATTGCTTCTGTATTTTAAATTTTCGTTTGTACGCTTTATACACAGATGATTACAGACTTAAACACATTTCTGCGCAAAGCTGTTCCTGACACTAAATTAACAATTAAGAAATACTTGGACGTTAAATTTGAATACTTGGTAAGTTGAAAATCCAGTTGATTCCTGTTAATATGGTATGCATATTACTTACCACTTACCTAACGGTTATTTCGGGATTATTTTTCTTTTCTATTAATGGGTCACGCATGTCCGAAGCAAAAAATATATTTATTGGTCTACTGTAATTGCTTATCAGTCAAATTCACTTATTGCTTATTAAGATAAGAAAAAGAAATGAGCACATAAACCGGCGGCTAATCAACTTATTTGGGTGCTTTTAAAGAGCCGGTTTTGTTAACCAGTAAAACACAGCTGTATTTTATTTATGTGTAACAGTAGTCTTTATTCCGTTGGCCTAGCAGTAGGAGACGTAGCAGTTAATGATGTTCCATTGTGAAGAGGAAGTGTTGGTCTTAGAGATTTTTTAAAATCATTTTTCTTCTTTATCTTTTATAATTATTGTGTGCAACTGCAACTTATTTGTATATGCCCATTTGAAGTATGGCAATTTGATCCGTTGCACTTTTGTGCAAAGTTCTACGTTGAAAATGCATGCTCACTTAACTTTTAACTACTGAAACAAACCTCCCATCAACATACAGGAATTTCGAGACTGAGATTGTATAGTTAGCTTTAGCAATGTGTGTATACACACTTATGTGGAGATATGGCTCATTGGCATAATAAACACTCCACTTTTAGTTAATGGTTCCCGTATTCAAATCCACATACTTCGACCTAGGCAACTGGGTAGTGAAAAATCGACTGAGTTATCAATGTAGAATATTTTTCACAAGAGTTCCTCGGTTCAAGTTGCCATACTTGCAAAAAGCACACAAAAGAATACAAGTAAGTGTAATAAAACCAATGAGACGATTATATACGAAGGGAAGAAAAATTGGATGAAGACTAACGATAATTTAATTTAATAATACCGTCTATATAATTTCCGTATAGATTCGATTTCCCTACATGAGCATTGAAAACCCCTGCTAAGATGAATATACCTAAGCTGTTTGCTTTCAGTATCCAGCTGGACGGCTTTTGTAATAAATAACTCATCCCCTACTTTATCCGAACTTCATTTATTTGATGTATCAGTGTATAAATAAATAAATAAATATTATGGAAAGGTGACAACGAATATCGTAGTCTTTTTCCCTGCGGTTTCGTACATTTACAAAGCACACCTGATTGGATCCAATGCCTCTTCTCTTGGGAGACGATGTAGCATAGCTGACCCACTGATCGTCTGACAGAAACACGCCACTGTTTTTACACACCTATTAGCTCTCGAACCGTCAACATAGTCTAAACAAGTCACACTGTAATGATAACTGCTTTTAATCTAGCTGCTATGGATACTTACACTTTCTTTAAGTCCTGTTGGTGTAAGCTTTGTTAAAATAAGCTTATTAAAAATCAAACAATCTTAATGATGTACTGCGATGACATATGTTCTGCTTATATTTTGTTGAATATATGAAACAATATCATACATTTTAAAGTAGTGGATTCAGTGCGAAATGTTTTTAAGGTTTTGGTTGATGCCTAGCCATAAACTGGATCTGTGCATATTTTTTTTAGTCATATTGTCTCAAAGTGAAAGAAATGGACGACGAAGAATACGGTTTTGCTATGGTTCAAGAACCCTTGTATCGCGTGGAAACTGGAAATTATGAATACCGACTTGTGCTAAGGTGTCGACAGGATGCACGTACAAGATTCGCTAAAATGCGTAACGATGTCTTAGTAAAGTTAGAATTGTTAGACAATAAGCATGGTAAGTATAAATTCAGAGATTGAAAATTATTTCCTATTTATTTCAAGCCTTATTAAAATCCATTCTTTTATTTCTTCTTATTGAGTGTTATAAAACTACTTTACATTTGAACAAACCAAGAACAACAATAGTACCAGGATAATACGAGCTCATCTTTTATTATTTCGAGGATTTTTCTCAACTAGTTACAACCTGAACGATAAAAAATATGAATTACATTAAATATACGAACATACTTTTCCACGATCACAAGGAGTAATTGGTAGGAATTAAAATTATGATTGGATTTTGTCACTATGTCTATTATCACCAGACATCTATAGGTCAGACACGCCAACTAGAAAATACCATTTGATGTATTTATTCGAGAGTTACAGAACACAAAAGACTGTTAGTAGGATTCAAACCTCAAAGTATAAATTCGGCTTTACCATAACTCAGCCAATAGTAAAATCGGTCACTGATAGGTAGGGTGGGTAAATTGGTGTCCATGGTGAAGTCGATTTATACGAAATATTTTAGGGGTATGCTGCTTTCCGTTTTTTAGTGCTATATTCGTCCTTAGTAAAGTCTTCCACAAATATCGTTGTTTTCCATTTGGTTTTGTCTTTTTAATTCGATTTCGTTATACTGATGTAAAGTTCTATATTTTAGAATTCTACTCAGAATTACTTCAAGACTTTTATTGTGAGAGTCTCTGCATTTATTATATTAATGAAAGTTGATCAACAATCATTGCTAGCCAAAACTCTGTCATTCTATATCTTAATGTTTGATATCTCCGACTCACACAAACAGAAAATAGGTGTCACCGTTCTCTTAATTAGGGATCCACTGACCAGTTCTCGCAGTCTTATACATGTAGATATAGCTGCTGACAAGAAGGCAGAAAATCTACCTCACAAGTAGTGGGCTACACCAAACTGTGTGGCTTAAGTAGTATTTATATCTTTTTTTTTACCTCAATCGACCCGAGGAGCTATTAGTGTCGGGTTTTCTTTCGGTTTAGCTTAATTATAAGTATTAAAACTACTTAGTAAAGTGACCGTACAATTTGAGTAGCTTGACGGTGGTTATCATGTTCAGTACTATCTCCAATACGATGTACAATCAAAATAATATATTGTTTCCTGGCTTAAAAATGAATTACCGGATCTCAGAAACATTCTCCTAAACGGTAGGTGTACAGAAGTATATACCTGTAGGTTCTAAACGGAAGAGGAGGCTGCTTAGTTGCAAAGTTACCAAAGTTCACTTAATGAATGAAATCCAATCAGATTCAATAAATAAGATTGGTGGTTAGTAATATTAGAAAAATGTTGAATCTTCCCAAATACATCGGTTCTTCAAAACAGTTGGTTAGAACCGAAAAAATCAAGATTTCACTCACAAAGGAGGCAGCTGGAGGAAACAGGCCGTGTACTCTAGGGAATAGTTCAAATATTATTTATTTTATTCACTATTTGTGTTTCGAGTGGGGCATACGGTCTCTCTGTTCTTTGCCATCATTCTTCACCCGACTCCATGACTACCAGCAAGTTTTCACTTTTTGTTTACATGAGTTTTTCAATGTCAAATTTTTACTCTCAAGTAATCACTTCTCATTCGGGTTGCACTCGACAACCGGTCTAGCCTGTGATGTCACTCTTAGGTCCCTCTAGTGTTGTAATTCATTCATTAAACGTTTTAAACCATATGACTTTCATGCAACTAATAATGCATCTAATAAATCTAAGAGAAAACATCACGCTGGCTGGCAGCGTGCACTTAAACAGACACCTTTATATCGTACAACCATTCCTGTTATTGTCACTTCAAACTGCCGTTCACTTCCCAACAAAATTATGCATCTCCAGTCTCTCTTATCATCTGATACTTATCACAATACGGCGATTGTTGCATTACAAGAAACATGGCTCCATGAACTCTATGATGACAATCTGGTTTCCCTAAATGGTTTTACATTGTTTAGACAAGATCGACTATGCTCCAGAAAGAAAAGAGGTGGAGGTGTTGCAACTTTCATTCATTCTCAATGGTCAACTTCAAATAACGTATGTTTTTCTTACTCTAATGACTTTATTGATTGTATAACGGTCAAATGCCGCCCGAAACATTTATCCAAGTTTAAATACGTCTTCATCTCTAACATTTATGTTACTCCTGGCTGTTCTGCATCTGATCTATCTGATTTTGCTGATGAATTCACTGAATTCGCCGTTACACATCTTGAAAACTCTTTATCAGTTGTCACAGGAGATTTTAACTGCTGTGATTGTTCTTTCCTCGTATCATTAGGTCATGCCAATATTGTTAAATTCCCTACTCGACTTGATAAAACCCTTGACCTGGTGTTCATTAATGATGAGGAAATATATGAAGTACGCCGACGTGCTCCTATCATGAACTCAGATCATTGTATTATTCGGATATTACCTAAGATATACAGCAGATCTCACTTTAATATCTTCTCAAATCTGTCCAAGAAAACACAGCAAAGGTGTTACTCACAAGAAAATATGCTCAAACTAAGATGCATGCTAAATGACACTAACTGGGAACTTTTCAACGAACAAAAACTGGATGATACTATTTCCAATTTGACTGACTATCTTAAATTCTGTCTTGATATATGCTGTCCAAAACAGATAATTTTCAAAAGAATGGATCGTTTCTCTTCCCCTCATCTCAAAAAACTTCGTAGAGAAAAAGAGAAGCTGTACAAGACAAAGAATAAATCTGGTCTTAAGAAGATAAACACCCAAATTAAATCTGAAATCAAGAGACTAAACAACATTTATAATCAAACAATACTATCTTGTAAAACATCAGAAAACATATGGAAGCTTTTTAGAGAAATTACTGGTTGTGGTAAGCATAATAATTTTGCCTCTTCTATTGATGTAAATACTCTCAATAGATCTTTCATCCGCCCTCCAAATGTCCTTTCTGCCTTCAATTTAACTAATAACACGACCAGTGACTTTCATCGTTTCAATACTTCTGATGTTCTTAAATGTTTGAAATCTCTTAAACCTTCCCAGAGTCTAGGCCCTGATGGTATACCTGCCATTGTTTTAAAGAAATGTGCTGATATTTTAAGTAACCCACTTACAAGCATTTTCAATACTTCTTTTTCTAATAATAATGTACCTTCTCTGTGGAAAGATATTAAAATCATCCCTGTACCCAAGTCTGGTTCTGGAGATAGTGTTAAGTTTAGACCAATTGCCATTACCTCTCCTTTTTTGAAACTGATGGAGAAATTACTGTTACAAAAACTCATTCCCTCCCTAAGCTTCTCAAACGATCCAAAGCAGTTTGCTTACAAACAGGGTAGAAGTACTTTGGATGCTGCTGCTGTGTTTCATCACAACATTGTATCCTCCTTAGACAAAGGGGCCAAGTATGTCCGTTGTACTTTCCTTGATTACACATCTGCTTTTGACTCTGTACCTAGAGGCCTTTTGTTAAACAAGCTTAGCCTTACACAAACTGAGTCCTGGGCTATCAACTGGCTGCACTCTTACTTCTCCAATAGGATGCAGTACACGGTATATAATGGTGTAGCTTCCTCTCCTTTGCTTACTGAAGCTGGTGTTCCTCAGGGTGCTGTTCTCTCGCCGTTTCTCTTTTCCTTCTTCTTACATGACTTACCTCTCTCAGACGAAATCAACTTCGTCAAATATGCAGATGACCTGACTGTTTCGCTTCCCGTTAAGTCTCAGTCAGACTGCTTCAAATTAAATAGCTTCCTGTCGGACATCAGTCAGTGGTCTAAACTAAATGGCCTAACGCTGAATCCCTCAAAATGCCAGACTGTCGACTTCTCCTTTAGGCATAAACGAGATCTACAAACACTAGTAAGCACTCATGATGTCTGTAGAATTGAGGGGACTATAATTGAAACAAAGTCTAATGCAAAATACCTCGGATTAGTTATATCTTCCGACCTTACTTGGTCATCTCATATCCAAATGATTTCCAAGAAAGTGTTTCGTCTAACCTACTACATTAAGAAACTCAGACTAACTGGAGTCCCTCAACCTCTGCTTTCACAATTTGTCAACTCTCGTATCCTACCTATTCTACTTTACTGTTCCCCGTTAGTCTTTCCTGGGTTACTGAAAAAGGATTATACCATCCTGAGAAGGATGTTGAAGGTAGTTAGTAGGACTAGCGGTGTAAAACTCAGTCAGCTCGTCACAACATTAGTGGATAAGCATCTGAATACATGTGAGAAATGGTCTAAAACCATACTCTCTGACCCCCAACACCCCCTCTATTCCCAACTCTCTCCTTGCATCTCATCAGGTAGAACCAGAAATCAGTACAAAATAATATATGCTCGTACAACCAAGTATAGGAACTCAACGATACCATATTTGGCCCGTGTTCTAAGTGACAGAGACAATGTTAAGCGCGAAACCTATGACTTGCTTTGTTGTTAATAACATAATTTTGGCCCTTGTTATTTCCCCCTTACACTCTCTTATTTGTACTCTATAGTGAACAACCTTCTTAAACATACTTAGCTGCTTAAAATTATTATCATTGGCTTACATTTTTATTCTTTATTCTATTCCTTCTTTATACATCTACTGGGTCCGACTATATTATCACTATGATTATTAAAAATTGTCCCGTCATTAACCATCATGTAACATTAGTTTTGTGGTTGTTCTTTGTTCGGCACTATTTAACTGACAATCTTGTTTGTTATTGCCACTATCACCATCTTAAAAAATTTTGTATTATGCATGATTCCTCACACTACCACTACAAACAACCGCATTAGTACTGACAATAAAAAAAAACACAACCTGAAATGTTTATCTTATGATTGCTTAGTGTTGTTCAATCAAATTAACTGATCATCTTGGCTATAAACATTTTTTTAAGAACATCTCATAATTTCCCGTATGATTATAGCTGTTACTGTTCACCACGCATACACATATCGTAGCTTCCACTAACCAATACTGAAATATTTTTTCATTATTTGTGTTTATCTTCCTTTTTACTTGGCATTTTTTATTGCATTTTTTTTGTTATTTCTGTGTTTCTTTTTGGTTTTTTTGTTATTATTGTCTTTTTTTGTTTTTTTTGTTTTTTTTTAAATATTTTTTTTTATAATACTCCTTTTAAATGCATGATGAAATTAGATGCAATATTGTAGATATGTGCTGAAAATTCCACACTGTACCACAAGTACTGTTTCTGGAATAAAGCGAAATTGTTATTGTTATTGTTATTGTTATTGTTATTATTGTCTTATTCTTTTATTTCTGCATTTCGTTGGATAATATGTTCTTAGTAGATTCATTGTCTGCTAAATTTCGTTTTTACTTATCCTTTCCGCTGGCCATCTGATCCCTGTCTGTCTGTCTGTTTTCGACATAGAACTTTGCACAAATGTGCGGAAGTTCAAGTCGCCACATTCCGTGTAGCACGCGAAGCAAGAGAAGAAAGTACAAGAAAAGCATAATAGAAACAATGAGCAGAGGTGATCCCTAGTATTAAGCAAAGATGGCAGCTGTTAGTGAATGCCTGCATCAGCCTGTTTGAAATGTTTCGTGACACCTGCGCCAAGTCTCTGAACCATATAGTAGCCCTAACTTGATTGTGGCCTTAAGAACTCGGATTAATCTCTTTGTCCTGAGGGTCTCCCTACTAAATTCTAGGTAATGAATGCCTGTTTTGCTTCCTCTATCTGACCCTCGCTGGCTTTGACATCCGGATCCGTGCTCTTTATAGTTGAATATATTATAATAGGCGATCATGTTTTGCTTCTGTCTTCATTGCAAACACTTCATCCTGCTTTCTGTTGTGAATTATTTGGCATGGTACAATTTCATGAGTCAAACTTTTACCACCCCCTCCCTAAAATAGAGAGGCAGCATACAGAAACACCCTACTGGTATTACATTCCTATTCACCAGTAGTGAGACTTCGCCGCCGCACCCCAAACGTAGTGTCATCGATTTACAATGTGGTGGTAACCGCTATCTGAACGAGCTTTATGACATGGTAGGATCCTCAGAAACACTAGTTCCAGTCAGTGTGACTTGTTGAGTTATTGCGATATGCAAGCCTGATCACCACTTTAAGGTAGCGGCTTTTGATCGGGTTCTCTGAGTTCTCTTAAATCTGCGAAGTCTCTTTCGTTTTCCAGATGGATGCGTACTGCGGATCAGTTCCAAACCAGAACAAAACAATTGTCCATCACTCCCTGGTTTCCAATGGTTCAAACTTATATCAATCTGTGATCAAACTTGAAATAAATTAAATCCCTACAAACAAACTCTTGAAAACTGCCTTTTTCAGAGGGTTAATGTTCACTGCTAGTTATGCATCTGATTTTTGTATTTTTGGATGGCTTGTAAGTGAGTCCTGTGAGGTGACCAACTCAGCATTTCCCCTTTGTCATCTCTTTGGTAAATAGGTTTCGTCCCTGGTGTGGGTCTCGTCTTCGCAGTATCAAGAATTCCCTTCCTGTCTGTTCTGCTTCCTGTACGTTGTCAGGACATGTTTTGCCATTTATAGTACTGTTCTTCACTCCTTTCTTCAATGCTTTGTAGGTTCTACTTAGCTTCTTTCGCTGTTCATCTCTACACTGACTTATCTTTTGCTTCACCATCCCTCTTTTCCTTATCAGCTTCCAGATATCCTTAATAAATCATTCCTTATCTGACTGACTGATGGACTGGTTTCAACATAGAACTTTGCACCGATATGCAGCAGTTCGAGTTGCCACACTTCACATAGCACACAAAGCAAGAGAAGAGAGTAAAAGGACATTCAAAACAGAGATAATGAACAACGAATCATTCCTTGTATTACTTATTCTTTCCTAAGATGGCTGTGCATATCTTCTACATCGCTTTCATAGAGTTCCAGTGTTTTTCGATTGTGAGTAAAATTTATTTTGATAAATTCTCACAGCGTTATATAGTATATATTTTACCGATGACGTTTTGAGCACAATTTATTTCCCATAATCATATCAAGTGTTCTCCTGTTCAAGTTTCTTTGGTGATGGTGCTTACTGTTTCTAACTCCTTGGTAACTAGAGTGAAGCACTCCTTTTCATGCGTGCCGAACTTGAAATGTGGTTTATCCGCAGCCTTTTCGGAGACTTTCAACTTAATGTTAAAGGCTCCCCATATGAGATAGAGATCTGAGTCTGTCTGTTCCGCTTCTCCATCTTATGTTCAGTAAGTTGCCTCTCCATTTTCATGAGATTGAGAGGAAGTTTATCTGATGTTTCGTGTGTATCCTTGTACTTGTACACGCTATCCCTATTAACCAAATCATTAGAGGTGCAGAAATTTGCAGTGTTCTCCATTCTCATTCATCTCACTGGGCACCTCTCTGCACACGATGAATTTTCTTCCTGTGTTTTGTGCTCCCAGTTCGGCACTTATTTAACCCATTAGAATGGTGTTGTCATCGTCTAGAAGGCATCTTTTCGATTACTACTTGTAATTGTCTGTAAAAGTCATTCTCTTGGTCTGCCTTGTTTGCAGGTGTGTATTAAAGCATAATGTTAACTCCTCTTCCTCTCCTTCTTGAGTCAAATTTTTCTGCTATGATACTGGCGGGAGTGGTCCACACTGCGTGAGCATTTTCAGTGCTGTTTGCAACAACATGGTAGCCACACTCTTAGTGGCTTCGTGGTTGTCTTCTGGATGACTGGAGTAGATTACTGACCCTCCAGTTTACGATTTGAAGAGTTCACTTCTATCTCATCCGCACTAAGAAATTCATAACACTTCCATATTATATCTTATTTCCGTTGTAATCTGAGCACCGTATCAGTATGTTGTGAACGTTGCATGTCACCAATACCTTGCATTGGCTGCGAGGTCAACTACATAGGTCAAACTAGTAGGTCAGGGGTAATCAGAACATAAGAATTTAGCTAAGGTAAGAATGGTTGACCCCGAGAAGATAAGTAATCTAGAAAAAAGCTCAGCAATTGCAATGCATGCGAGAGGGTTAAAATTCTAAAAAGTAATCTAGATAGGTGGAGAGAGAGGTTGATTACTGAATCCTTGTTCATCGAGTCTACACCCAACACATGCAATAGAAATGATTCATCACTCATACCCGAAATATGGAAAATACTATTACCAATTAAATCAAGGGAAAATCAAGTGCAAAATAATGGAACTATATAAATGAAGTTAGGAAGTCGTGTGAGTACCTTGATATGATTATGAGCAATAAATTGTGCTCGAAACGTCATCAGCAAACTTTACTGTATAACACTGTGAGACTTTATCAAAAAAAAATCTACCCACAATGGAATTACACTCTACCACAGTGCACAAGTTTTATTCTTATATCAATCACCAATACTTACTTTATTTTACATCGTAAGAATACTTATAGGCCGACTGCCTTCTTAAAAACTTCCACTGGACGGCGTTACCTGTACTTGGATTGTTTAGTCTTTTCGATTCCTGTGAAGAGGAAGTTTCTTTATGTGTTCTGAAGTTTCCTTACTAATGGAAGTGAGCCTCATATCCAAACTTCCCTCTTTTTCTGGCTTGACAGTGGCTGGTAAGTTAGGTGATGTTAACAATTTAGCTAGATTCTCTAAAATTTTCTTGTGTCTATTCGTAGAGAGAATAGAACGTTGTATGGTGGACTGTTTCTAGGAAGATTCAATAAAGATTCGTTAAATCGTCTCAGATTTTGAAGTCAACTGTTATTCCTTCCGTTTAGTATCAGTCACTAATTTCTCCATTTCTCGAAAACGGAGAGAAATCCTAACAGTCATTTGTCGTCTAACTCGAGCTTATAAGGGACAAACTCGAAAAACATAGATGAGATTCCATCCTCTTTATTGGTGTGTCAACCAAGTAGTTAATTTTCAAGTATTGGTTTTGCAGGGATTTTTTTGTTCGATTTGTTGGAGGACTTCATCATGAATTGACATCAGTTAGAGAACCTTTGGAAAACCAAAAAGGAGTACTGGACAGCTGTTTCGTCCTAGTTTGGAACCCCCGCGGGTGCGTACTGCTTAAGCGTCTCAAAGTAGGACGAAACAGCTGTTCAGTACTCCCTGTTGGTTTTCCAAAGGTTCTCTAACTGATGTCAGCTCATGATGAAATCCTCCAACCAACGAAATAGTCATTTCAGTTAGATGTGTATATACCAATTTTCGTTGCGGTAATAATAATAACAATAATCCTTTAGACATAGCAATTGATGTAACATTTCTTATCTTTCCTTCATTAGTACAAGATATTGTATTTCAATTGCAACGTTTCATCGATGCGATGGCAACCTACCATGATCAGTGCTATGGTGTTATGAAACAAATAAAAATATTCCCACTCGAAGTGGATTTAGCAAGGGATGCATTTGCTTACAACCTGGGTGTCTTCAATACAGGTGAGGATGAAGGTGAGAACGGCAGTGATGAGGATGGAGGTAATACCGTATCAGCGGCAGAAAGTGCTGGTAATAATAATAAGTACAGTCAGCTTGCTGATGATGTTAAATTGATAGATTTAGCAGGCTTAAGTACAAAACGTCAATTTTCTGACAGTCAAGATGATGAAGTACTTGATATGAACAACTGGAACTCCGTATCGTCTACCTGGAGTTCTTGTACAGCCGATAATAAGTCAAATAAACAGGAAACCGTTACTGATTTGCTTTGTTTCGACTGACTTCCTACCTTTCACCCTAACATGTACATATATTATGGATGCCTGTATTATTTACAGGGAATTATACTGTGATGCTTCAGTTAAATCCACCAAAATTGTGATCTGATCATGTGATATTTTCACTGAAAATCTCCATTCCATGACATTATATACTTTTCATTTGTGCTTGTCTGATTTTCGTCTTGTGATATCTTCTATCTTTGTTTACCTTTTTTATTTAATGGACCGTGCTTCTTAAGAAAACTGCTTCTTCACTGCATATTTTGCTTCTCGTTAAATGGATGGGACTCATGTGGAAAATAATCATTTCGTTCTGTACTTCTGTATGCTTATTCCGACAGGTTCGAATGCTTTAATTTGGTTGAGAGTGGTATGAACATTATTGTTGACTGTCTTCCACCGATGTGTTGATTATTGACAGATAACGCGAAGTAACGATTAGCTGCAGCTATGGATCTTTTAAGTGGAATCATTCGACTAGTTTATTAAGATATCATACAATCTCCAATCTGCAAAAATAACTTTACAGCTACTTAAAACGATGAAAAGCGAAATTTCCTTTAGTGTTCATGGACAGTAAGTCTTTATGCAAACAATGATATGCATTGGATTTTAAAAGTAAAACGAGTCATGGATTTATATACACA